GGGGGGGGGGGGGGGGGGGGGGGGGGGGGGGGGGGGGTAGGCAGGCAGGCAGGTAGGTAGGTAGGTAGGTAGGTAGGTGCACATGCATACATACATACAGTCTGACATGCACACATGGATGTTGACCCATGGCCCGCGGCCCCTAAACCCTAAACCCTAAACCCTAAACCCTAAACCCTAAACCCTAAACCCTAGACCCTAAACCCTAAGCCCTAAACCCTAAACCCTAAAGCTAAGCAGGCGGACCTCATCACCTACAACGTCGCCATCAGCGCCTGCGAGAAAGCCACAGAGTGGGGATCGGCTTTGTTGCTGCTCAGTAACTAGGTTCACCAGTAGCCCTTTTTCTAATTGGGTTCCCTTACTAGGACCCGGAGTAGGCCCTTATTTCCTTTTTAGGGTTGGGGCTCCAATATAATCCCCTTAAAACCAAAAAGGGCACCCTTTTCATTCCTAGGTTACTCCTGGGTCTAGCTTATTAGTAGGAAAAGGGTACCCTTATTATTATGGTTATTATTATTGAGGGGTTGCTGAAGAACCTAGGCAGGCTGGGGGATGCGTCTCTGATCCGGGATGTGGTGACGTACGGAGCATCCATCAGCGCTTGTGAAAAGGCCACCAGGTGGGGGAGTCCTTGAAAGCGAGCGGTATGGTGCCTCATGTTTTGTATTCGTATTATCTATAGGGTTCTTTATGTAAGGGGGAGCGGGGGCTCCTTACATGCAGAATGTTTCGGGTCTCCTGTGGCTTCTGAAGCTCCCAGGTGGCCCCAAGCTTTGCTGCTTCTGGGCGAAGCAGAAGCAACGGTGCAAGTGAATGTGATCATTCTGAGTGCCGCCATCAGTGCCTGTGAGAAGGCCCTCCCACTACTCTTGGTCCTCCTATTAAGGCTCCAGAACCAAGGCATCAGAACATACTATGCAAGGTTTTGTAGCTGCAGGTCGGCTCTAATGCCCTTAACCTCTGAAGGTTAAACCCCGAAACCGTAAGCCACCTGCATCTTAAGCCTCACTTGAAGGTTCAGGGTAGGATTATATGTTATAAGTCCTCTAACGCGGGCTATGCTTACAGGGACCCTACTTTTGGCCTATATATAACTATACCCATGAGCCTCCAAGTAGGGCAGCCAGTGGCGCTTGGCCTTGGATTTGTTGGGCCAAGCCGGTCTCCGACGCCTTCGGGCGGACACCATCATGCACCTTAGTAACAAACTTGTAGCCTTTCAACTTCTCGGAGTAGTATGATGAATTCTCATAACCCTGCGATCTTCATACTATAGTTCCTATAACCCGAATAAACTCCAAGAAGTTATACTTCCTATGGCCCTGTACTAGGAACCCTAGTATAGGATTCCTATAACCCAGAACCCCTAATATGGAAGGCCAAAGGTTAACCTTTGGTTCCTCTTGGAACTTTGACGAGTCAGGTACACTTCAGCCGTGAGCGCCTGCGGCCGCTCTTTCGAGTGGCAGCAGGCCCTAAGACTTCTGCACGAAGTCGAAATGGAACGGTTTGCTCCGGAGATCATCGTGTACAACTCGGCCATCACTGCATGTGAGAAGAGCGAACGGTGGGAAGCTGCTCTTCAGCTTCTGAGTAACATGGAGGACGTGGGGCTGCAAGCTGACGTAATCACGTACAGCTCCGTGGTAAGTGCTTGCGATAAAGCCGGCCGCTGGGAACTTGCTACTTGGTTCTTGAGCTTGGGTCGCATCCGACATCTTCAGCCAAATGCATTTACTTACAGTGCTGCCATCAGCGCATGTGCAAAGCAGGCAAAGTGGACACTGGCGTTGGCACTGTGCCAGGAATCCCGAGACAACCAGCTGCCCCCGAGTGAAATCCTTTGGGGTTCCGTGATTTCCAGCCTTGAGAAAGGTGGGAAGTGGCAGCATGCCCTTCTCTTCCTGGAGGAAGGGAACGGATGTGCGTTGTCATTGGATGCTGTCGCATACTCTTCAGCCATCCGGGCCTGTGCTGGGGCACACCGGTGGCAGCAAGCTGTCGAACTCATCCTGGAGGTGGAGTTCAGAGACCCAAAGGCAATGGCCGTGCCGTTGCCTGGACAGCACTTCACATAGGGGCCTCAACAGTTTGAATAGGGTTGTGGGGTATACTAGGTAATCTTGACAAGGGGACTTTCAGGAACATGATTCTACCCTACACCCTATAAGCCCTATAAACCCCAAACTTGCCCTAAACCCTATAGTAGGGTTCGTGTTTGTGGTTCAGCGCACGTGAAGCTGTTTCACTTCTTTGCAGACCTCGAACCATATGCCTCGCCTGGATTGTCCGAGTGTGAGCGCCGAAACCCTATAGAAGTTATTTCGACCCCAATGACTTTCAGAAACATCATTCTAACCTAAACCCTAAACCCTATAAGCCCTATAAACCCTAAACCCTATGGTAGTTATTTCGATCTCTTGGGTAGTTTCGCCCAAGTTGTCTTGTCTCCACTGCCTTGACGCCTCGGCCCCACAGGCTCCACCCCTCCAGCAAAACCTCAAAAGGACCCTTAGGGGGGAAAGGGGGGAAGGGGGCCCTGATACCACGAAGAAGGACCTGATAAACTTATATAAGGCATATATTGAAGGGTATACCCATAGGCCCTAAAGTAGTTCCTTTTTGGGGTTACCTTATAGGGTTCTATATATGAACCCCAAAAGGAACTACTTTAGGGCCTATGGGTAGTCCCTGTCGAAAATCAGGCTCAGCTGCGCCATTGCTGCCTGTCAGAATTCGTTGGCATCTCAGGCAGGCCTGCAGCGCCTGGGCGGCAGTTTAATCTTTTGTGATGGCAAAGGGAGGTGTTCTTTGTGGTGGTTGCAATGATGATGAGGAGGGGGAGAAGGAGGCGGAGGTGGATAGTGACGATGATGATGCTGCTGGTCGTGGCGCTTCTTGTGATAGTGATGGCGATGGCGAAGGTGAGCAAGGATCACGGTGGCGATGTTGATGCCGCTGTTTCTGGCAGCAACATGTCTCTAGAATCCGCAAGAAGTGAAATTCAGGATGCTGGGCAAGCTCGAGCCGAGCTTGGGAGCCTTCGCCACAGCGAGGGCCTTGGGCTGAGGGCATTGGGCCCAAGGCGGTTAGGACTATGTGTTTGTTTGTTTGCCGGGAACCCGAAACCCTAAACCCTAAGTCTGTTTCATTCGACGAGACTCGGAAGATCGACGCCGCCTGTTTGGGGAAGAAGTCGTGCGCTTCACGTCTTCGTAGCCACGCCTCCAGACAATTACAGTTTAATGTAATCTATTATAAGATACTATCTAGACTATAATTCAAAGTCGAATATATATTGTAAGATACTATAGACTATAATTCAAAGTCATATATTATATTCTGAAATTATAACCGTAAGATACGATAGACTATAATTCAAAGTCATATATAAATTTCTGAAATTATAGCAAAAAGCAGTGCAGCCTTTGCAAGGATGCCGGGCTCCTGTCACCTTCTCAAGAGCGTAACCATGGTCCCTGAATCCCATGACAGGGTTTAGGGGTTTTGGGGTTTAGGGGTTTAGGGTTTAAATTAGGGGTTTAGGGGTTTAGGGGTTTAGGGGTTTAGGGGTTTTAGGGGTTTTAGGGGTTTAGGGGTTTAGGGGTTTAGGGTTGAGGGTTTAGGGGTTTAGGCCGGG